CGCGAGACGGGGGCGGGGGGAGAAAGGACCGGAGCAGCCTCGATCTGGGGAGAAAGCGAGCGAGGGGGCGAGGAGAGGAGCGAGGGCGCGGCGAGCCGAAGGGAGCGCGAGCGGTGCAGTGACAGGGACTGCCACTGGGGTCAAAGGAGCACAGCTCCAGGAAGCAGGGCGGCCGAGGCGCCGCTCCGTGCGCGCTCCCCGGCGAGACCCCGCGCCCCTGCACGCCCCTCCTGCAGTCCCGGCCCACTCGAACCCCCACCGGCGCCCCGAGGCCCCGGAGTTTGGAGAGGAGGAGGGAGCCGAGGGCGAGGCCAGCAGCCTGCTGGTGCTCCCGGGTCAAGCAGGCGGCAGGAAGCTGAGCTGCAAGTTCATCATCATGAGTGTGATCAGCGTAAAAAAATGATAGAGGACGAGGAAAGGCAGGCGGGCTGTGGAGCCCCAGGAAAATAAAGGAGTCCCCCCCCCCTCAATGGGCGTCTACTGCAAAGAGATCACCCAGGCCCCCCACCCATCGACCTGCCAGGCGCCGTCAGGAATCCTGGCACCACTCCAGGGCGCAGAGCTCGCCGCGGGGGCAAGGGGAGCGGCTGGGGCACTTCACTCAGGCCAAGGAAGGCGACCCTAGGTTCCCTCCCATCTGCTAAGCTGAGGCTTTTTCTGGGGGAGAGCTGTGCTCCCTTTCCTCAAGCCTTTCAGCGCGACAGACACACACACGCTCACTCACCTCTTTCTCTCTGCAACGTTGTTCCTGAGAAAGAAAAGGCCAACCCAGCTGATCATTTTTTTTTCACCTCCATGAATTAAGGCAGGTTCAGGATAGGAAGGTGAGGAGAGGCAAAGACTAATTATTTCCATTTTTTGTCTTTTGGACACATTTTCCCCAAAAGATAAGCACTTCAAAAACATTTCAAAAAATCAAAGTTAGTCCAGTTTTCTCTGTTCCCTTGGGAAATGGAAGAAAAGGTTTTCGGAATTGTGTGCAAACAACGTAAGAAAAGGAAAAGTGCTGAAATGCTAGAAGACAGAAAACAAGAGAGAGAAGGCTTTTAGAAAACTTGGTTGGCAGGCTGTCTGTGAAAGATGAGGTGGCCCTGTGATGTTATGCCATTGTCAGAGCTGAAAGATTTGGATGGCAACCAGATCTAATTCTCTTCTAGGAGTCAGACTCAAAGATCTATGCATCTTCCAAAGGGAAACCCAATGTATGTGTGTGAGAGAGAATAGTGTGCTAAGTATACTATATGACAGACAACTGACTAGACATCCTGGCTGAAATTATATCCCCTAAAAATAAAAAGGAGCCGTTTCAAACTGGTCTGTGGCCTCTGTGCTGAGACTAATTGGTTTCCAGGGTCTAAGGAGGAAGGGAGAGAGGCTGGCAGAAGCCCCTATAAAAAAAGATCAAACGGAATTCACTTGAAAATATTTCCCTTTTACAATGGGCTTTCCTGGCACTTGAATTTTAAGTAGCCCATCTCTTATGCCTGGGCTAAAATGGAGGGGGAAATGGTCTTACTAATGTATTTATTTTATTGTACAACGAGCCCAGAGTGTCAGTACTTGTCAAATGTGCTAGGATGGAAAGGACAGTGCCTTTCCTTGCCCAGCACAAATCACAGCAAGTGACATTGACATTGAAGGATGCCAAAGTTGGGGTGAAGGGGCACCTTTATATTTTGTTTTCCAGCCTAGCAGGAAACACTGACTAGAATCATGTTTTTGAAGAAATGCTTGGTTTTGTTTTCCTTACTCTGTGAGTTAGCAGTACACTCCTCTTATCTACATGGTTTGAATTTTTAAACTGATTTGGGCTGATTTAATCAGTCCAAAAAACTCATCGCCAGCCAAATAATTTCTGTGGTTTTCTTATTTTTTTTTAAAGAAAACTAATTGGTAGTCAATCAAAGCAGCCAAACTAGTTTGAACATGATTCTGAATCTAAGTATGTGCATACAGATAGTAAATAATACTGTGTTTTACTTTAGTGGCACATTTTACAGGATATTTAATGCTATTAAAAATCAAGTGGGTGAACCTTTACAAAGCTGATGAGAATTCGTATACCATTATACTGAGTGGGGAAAATTGAGGTAAAAAGGCTTAAAATTGTAATTTGTAGTTTAGGAAGAAGCCAACCCCTATGGTGTCCCTGCTGATGGATCAATTATCCAGTAGTGACCAAGGTGTATTTGGGTTATGAATCGTTATTTCCATTTAGGCTACTAAAATAAAGAAGCTGCAGAAATGCAAGGGAATGTAAATAAATCAGGAACAAAAGGAATTTACTTTTTAAATACTTCTCTTTATGTGGATTTTAATGTATTGCATTTTGTGAATAGGTGTGTGTGTGTGTGTGTGTGTGTGTGTGTGTGTGTGTGTGTGTGTGTGTGTGTGGTCACATTCCTTACAAATGCAGCTACCTATACTAAAAGTTTGTTGTAAAATGATTGTATATGAACTATGTCTGTCCCCTGATATAAGCTTTGAAATGTAGCCTCATTATATCAAATATTAAATGCTATAGTCTGGGCCTTTTTTAAAAGATAAGTGACACTATAGGTTCCATTTCTGTTGTTAAATTCAACATTTTATTGTTAAAATGAAGAACAAAAGGACGAAAATCAAATGCCAAGTTTATGATTGCCTTTAAGCAAATAGTATAAATTTTTTCCTTTAATGGAATATAAAGCTGGACCCTTTCTCCAGTGATTTT